CATGGATTTATTTGTATTCATTACGATGGGATAGTAATTAGTATTTAGTGGTGACCATAGTCAATCTCGACTCGGTCACCACTAAAATTGCTGAGCTGACGTTTCGTCCAAAGAAGTCCATTACGGCGAGTCTATTAAGTATATATCCTCATTTTTGTCAAGTCGCAATACTATTATTAATGTCCTTTAATGCACATTATAATTGAAACAACGTTCGGAAATGATGGATAGCTATAATAATAGACTCCGAGGTGCGGGTCAATGCATTTTCACCTGTATCCTCTCCGTCACTTCAGGTTGTTAGTGCGAAAATAGTACCCCTAAAATAAACTAACGCTAGGTACTTGGTGGCCACTAGTGCCCAAGTTCCTGTCGCATCGTTTGGTAGCAGCAAGTCACAAGCTACTATGCTTCGACCACGCTCTGCGAATGTCCAAAGTAATTCCTACCTAAGGTACACGACAGCTAACGATCAACCTGAACAATCAACGACAGTATCTATGCTGATGTTCCCATATCCGTTATTGGTATCGATACCCTACAGCTCTGTTAATTGCTAGTCGATTCACGTAGGCTGCAGTTAACCGATACTTCGTCGAATATCAAATCCATGGGTTTTAACGAGCAAACAGATATGTACCGAATCACCAATATATATTTTGCATTATTATTTATTTCAAGTTATATTTGATAAATTCCCCAAAGTGACTAAACCGAGGAGATTCTATCGGTGAATAATAATATGGTAAGACACATCGTTACCTGCAGACGCCCAGTCACGGCAAAACCCCGCAGACTGACACTGGACAAATTAGTTTTCGCTAAGCGTGAGTTTGACAGTTTACTTACTATATGTATTACGTCGTCTTTCTCGCAGTCCTTGAGCCTCCTCTCTCCATTCGGTTCAGAAAAAAATGGCACCAATTGGAGATCACACGGCGATTACAGAGCAGCAACGACAAATATCCAGTATTCCGCCTCTGAACTTGTATATGGCACGACATAGCGTCTGCCTGGGGAATTTTTTCACTATGGAGCGGACATTTTATGTATATAAGATAACGTCCGATGACTATATGAGTAGATGCGAACACTGCCTCCGGTGTGAACTCGAATATAACATTGGCAGGTCGCTCTCCCCCGAGAGTTATTTACCCGTCTATGTGTTTTCATACGAGTGGATTCGGTACGCAAACCTTTCGAACAGCCTTACGAAGGATCATTTCACGTGATCTCCCATCACGAAAAGACTTTCAAGGCTGATGGACACATTCAGCATTAATCGTCTCAGACGAGCATACGTTGATGACAGTGCCCTATCCAATAAACTGAGATTAAATGCTAGACCCATCCAACTTACTAGCGGGATCCTTACATATACTTCCAACCACGCTAGATACATGAGAGACCTCATTCTCATGTCCCAGTCAATGACACGTGTCATCTGCACTACCTACGGATGAGACTAGGGTCCCACGTTCAGACCAGCTGATCACGCCCCTCTTGACTTCGGATGCGATTGCCGGCTCACGAGGTACTCACGAGACTACCGTCTCGCGTTCCGGTCGCCGCGTACGGCTACCTGTACGATTTCGCGACTAACGACCCAATCAACAACGGATACGGCACAGGACCTTATCCTAATACTATCCCGGGCCCATGCCTTCAACCATCTCTGTGCTGGTACCGTTGACCTCAGTCAAACTTTCCAAAGGTTTATCTATAGTATAGCACGAGACTTAGGTTTTTTCCACATATATATTGATGACCTGCTAATCGCACCATCAAACGTAGATGAACATTATCATCACTTAGCACTGTTATTCAATAGTCCTTCCGATAATGGAAAAATTGCCAACCCCGACAATTGCGAACTTCCGTAGTCAGAAATAAAAGTTTTAATCAATATTGTTAAGCAGGATGGTATTTTACCATCTGAGGACAAAGTACGTGCAGAAACGAAGTACATTTTACCGTCCACACTCAAGGAATTGAAGATATTCTTCTGTTTGGTTAGTTTTTGGCGACAGTTACAACCACTAACCGACTTATCTCGCGGTAATCCATGAAAATAAGATCTAAACGATGCCGCACGTACAGTGTGTTCAGAGATCAAAACAGCTTTGGCCCAAGCCACACTCCTCGCTCATCCTGACCCATCAACCACGCTTAGTACAGCGGTTGATGCATCAGATTTTGCTGTGAGAGCTGTAATACAACAGGACATATCCGTGAGTTGACAACTTCTCGAACATTCCTCACGATGCTCCATTCCCAAAAAGACGAGATACAGCGCTTTCGATCGAGAACTGCTATCAACCTACTGTACCATCAAGTGTTTCAAAACGCTGTAGAGGTATCGACCTCATTCTCCTCACCGACCACAAGCATCTAACGTATGCTTTGTATAACAAGCCAGATCGCTACTAATCAAAAGAGTGTGGATATTTAGAGTATATCTCTCAGTTCACGACAGATGTTCGTCACATTAAAGGCGAGTAGAACTATGCCGCGACGTTCTGTAATGTATTCGAATAAATGGAGCTACTTCACCTATGCTCGCGATTCCTCTCATACTGAAGCACTGCATTCTACATCTCCTCAGTCCCAGGAAGTACCACTAGCAACTAGCTCAGGTACTATCCTGTATGATTTTTCTACTGATCTAGCTCTTCCAATCGTACCCTGCACTTATCATCATCTCGTTTTCGATGCCCTTCTTGGACTGTCTCATCCAGGTATCTCAGCCATATAACGCCTGATCGCTGCACGACACTTCTGGCCGCCCATGAATAAAGATGTCCGAATGTGGGCGAAGTGATACACACAGTGTCAACGATCAGAAAAGAAGAAGCAAATGGCTGCCCCTATTGACGCGTTTTCTATGCCTGACGCTCGCTTTGATCACATTCATATGGAGATTGTGGGCACATCGCCACCATCACACGACTAAGATCACGTACTTATGCGCATCGATCATTTCATAAAATGGCCCGAAGATATTTCCATCTCGTCTGTTACGGTGTAGACAGTTGCTCACGCTTTGTAGAACGATAAATAGCGCTGTACAGCTGTACCTCCACTAACTGACTGAGGACAACGGTTCGAGCCTAGTTTACTCTCCTCGCGGACCCGGCTGCTTGGTACGGAAAGCATACGCACTACCACCAAGCATTAAGGGGTAATTTGAACGGGTTTCACCGCCAACTCAAAAGTGCTCTTCTATCACACGCAAAATTACTTGGTCTTAAACCTTACCGCTCGTCCTCTTAGGTATCAGAGCGAGCGTAAGGGCACAAATTCGATGCAACGA